GTCCCCTCTGACTGAAGCTCTTTCCACACTCCAGACATTTATGTGGTTTCTCTCCTGAGTGGATCCTTTGATGTGTATAAAGGTTTCCCCTCAGACTGAAGCTCTTTCCACACTCAGGGCATTTATGCAGTTTCTCTCCTGAGTGGCTCTTTTGATGGGTATAAAGGTGTCCCCTCTGACTGAAGCTCTTTCCACACTCCGGGCATTTATATGGTTTTTCTCCTGAGTGGCTCCTTTGATGTTGATAAAGGCTTCCTCTGTGACTGAAGCTCTTTCCACAATCCAGACATTTATATGGTTTTTCTCCCGTGTGGATCCTTTGATGTTGATAAAGGCTTCCGCTCTGACTGAAGCTCTTTCCACACTCCAGGCATTGAAATGGTTTCTCTCCTGTGTGGATCCTTAGATGGTTTTTAAGATCTCTATTTCTTCTGAAGGATTTTCCACATTCCGGGCACTGATATTTCTCTCCTCCCTCCTGGATTCTCTGGGGACTCCCGAGTCTTCTGCCTGTCCCGAAGGACCCTCCGCTCTCCGGGCCCGTCTCGGGGTCTCCGCCCGTTTCGTGCTCCCCGCTTCTCCCTCCAGGCGGCCTCCTTTCCCGGAGTCCCCTTCGGCTCATCCCTGTCGGGCCTTCCCCGCCGTCTCCTCCCGGGGAGCGCCCCTTTCCTCCGCAGGGCTCGCCCGTCCTCCTGCAGGAGCAAAGGAGAGGCGGGTCACGGCTCCGTCCCTTCCCCGAGGGGCCCCACACACTCCCCGGGGAGGAAGGCCGAAGCCTCCGCCTCCCTCCCTCCCTCCCTCAGAGACCATCTTTGACAGTCTCCCAGCATCCCCTGCGCCAAACCTGCAGCCCGGCTCCTCTCTCGCCGATTCCGGAAGCTAGCTCGTTGCCCGTTTTGTTTCCGGAAGTGGAGGCGGGACTTCTTTTCGCGTCCTTCTCCAAGAATATCCGCCTGTTCTTCTAGAGTAGGGCCCGCCCCAAGGAGGCCCCCTGCCAATCGCCGTGCTCCCCCGAGCGACCAATCGGAGTCCTCTTTCTTCAGCCAGGCAGATGGCGCCTGCGCGTTGATGCGCGGCGTCCTGCTCCTGGCGCGGAGGGGAGAGGAGGGGCTCCGCTTGAACTTTGGGGTCCGCTCTTCCCCCCCCTTGCCCCGCATCCAGGCAGGCGCAGCTGGGGAGCCGTTCCGGGCCTGCGTCTCCGGCCCTCCCTCATCCGGGCTCTCTCCCTTTGCAGGGCGGGGGTGGGGGAAGTGGGGGGGGGGCTTCCCCCCTTCGTCCTCCTGGGGGGCTCCGGCCAGGCTCCCTCCAGACAGCCGGGCCTCCTCTCTGCGCCTCCTGGACCCCGAAATGCCGCCCCCGCCCCCCTTTCCCGCCTCCTCCCCGGGACCCCTTTGCCAGACTGCAGCGGGGGGGGGGAAATCCCCTCCAGGACCCCCCCTTAATATCTGGGCC